TCCTAAGTTAAAATGTCGGTTATACATCTCTCTTATTTATATATATCTTTTCTGAACGGAACATTGAAAAGCGTGTAAAACTGTGCTTTACTGTATTTTCTCTTTTAATATAGTATGCAGTTTTCAAACTCATCGTAGTCTGGGTTACAAAGTATTCTTCCGAAAGAAACGCAGTTCAAATAAATAAAATCAAATTCTGGAAAATTGATATTAATAAATATATTTAAAATGCTCAGTTCAAAGAAATAAATAGAAGAAATAAATAGAAAATTTTAAAACAATTATCTGAAGAGACAATGCAACACAAACAATTAAAATAAAAGTATAAAAATTTAAAAATTACCTAAAATAATAACTATGACGAAAAATATATAATAAAGAAAACTATCTAAAAAAAAATAACGCTGCACCTTTATTTACGCAGTTCGAATAGGTAAATAGAAATTTTTAAAACAGTTATTCGAAAAAAAAAAAAAAAAGTGCAACTTAAACAATTAAAATGAAATTTCGAAAAGAAAAAATTACTTGAAAGCGATAATAAGTTATAATGCGAAAAGCACTATAATGATAAAGAATATTATTTGAAAAATTAGGAACGATGGTGACTTTTTTTCCTCTCAACCACAATGTAAAAAGGGAAAGGAAAACTAGGTTGCCATATATTAAGAAGTTTTCGCCAAGTGCAAAGTGAAAATTTTTCTTGGCGCAAACTGAGAAAAAGTGCGCCAACATAAATTTGTGAATTTCCTCCGTAAATTTCGCTCCAAATTTTACAAAATTTCATATTTAGGCGTAATTTGAGTCGTAGAATCGAAATATGTAAAAAAATTGGTATGTTATTTCAGAAAAAGTCCTGATTTTGTGTCAAAATACCTGAATGTTAGAATAGTGCTATATATAAATCTAATATATATTTCCTAAGTCGCGCTTTCGAGACATGAAAGAACGCAAGTTGAATTTTGTCAATCGGCCCTTGATAGATCTTGGAGATTAAGGACTGTCCCATTTTTTTTTTTGAGCAGTGTACATATGTATACCCATATACCTACCCGTCTTAAAATACCTTTTTTCAATCGTTGGTCGTAGTCACATGCTTCAAATTACTGAAGTTTTTTAAACGATGAAAGTATTCATGTCTTGGCAATGTCAAATTAAATAATAATAATAAATTTTGGGAAAATAACGAAAGGTCTCCGGTTCCTGTACTTATATTTGGGAAAGTTTTATGCCCTTTATGAAACAATTAAAAGTGCAAAAATTTGCTAATCTTTCATCTCTCCGGCTTTCAAAAAATCCTAATGTCTCTGCAGGGTACCTTTTGGTTTGCAATCGGTCGCAACAAAATTATGTATGTGTAATAATAAAATTCCATAATCAAGAATACACTTAAAATTCTAACTGTATGTTCTTTTCATTTTTAATGGTGACGTTTTCTTATTTGAAAGTACGTGGAATTAAATCCACAGCACCGTAGTCAAGTTGTTTTTCCCGTCTCTACACGTACAGTTATAGAATGTTCTGGAAATATTTAAAGCGAACTGGATTGGCTGACGAGGCTGACGTCGTTTCTTGGAAGCTCCGCCTTTCCAGAGGCTAAAGAAGGAGTCGCAAATAAAAGTCGGGGCTTTTCTTTAATGTCACGATGCAGTAAACTTCATACAAAAAGTTATTAGTAATTCTTTTTTTATGGCAAATTTAACCGGGATATTTCATTTCAAAATCTGGAACATTTGATTTCATTTTCATCATGCCTTGAGAGATTGGTTAGAAAAATTGGAGGAAATAAGTCTGAATGAAGTACAGCAAATAAAAGGTGTATTATTTAATAGGCTGTACAAGAAAGTCGTATGATGCCCAAATCAGAATTTTTTAACTAATTTTATTATTTTTTAAACCGAGAAGGGAAAATTATGCAAATTTTTCATTTCGAAGAACTCCTTTTATAATAAATACATAACAAATGAAATGGAGTCATGGATAAACTACAAGTAACTATTACAAAATTATTTCTTTAAAAGAAACCCACATTCCAGGAAGAACTTTAGCTGTAACATTACGTTACTTGAGCTGTAACGTTATGTTACAGAAACGCTGCTGTTGTTCCAGCAAAGATATTATTTTCAATTTAATGAGCACCTAGTAGGCAATGTGCAGATTAGCGAATGCTTAGTAGGTAATGATCAAAGATTGCATACTGTGTTAACTGTCTACAACTTGTAAACACTACTTGGAGCCTTTTCAAACCATTGTTAAAAGAAAAATTCAGAAACAGGGTAATTTTTTTTTCCTAATGTTACCAATTTTTACAGATCGCCGATGTCAAAATGTGTTCTTTATCCTTTATCGTAGACGATCATGAATGTAAAGATAGATCAGAGTGGGAGGGGGAGAGGAAAGGAAATGAGTGAAAGAAACTTTTGAACTTTAACGATACGGAAGCCGTTAATGTGCACATTACGTAAAATGCGGAAAATCCTTGGTTCCGCACTTTAAGGATACAAGTCAGTTAATCTGCTGATTAGCTAGGTAATGTGCTTGATAATGACTTTCGCACGTTAGCGGTAACATATAGATATTGAGTACTATTCGGTTTCGAGGGCCGTAAAAAATCGCCGAACTATTGTTGATGCCAATGCTGCCAAAAATAATTGCGGCAACCCTAATAATTGCGACAAGAAAGGAAGTATAATATAAATAACTATCTAAGATTGATGTTTTAATTTAGATGAAAGGTTAATTTCGTATAATACTTTTTTATTATTATAATTTATATGAAAAAGGCTAAACATGACTGAATGGTAGCATAAGAGTAAATAACTCTTTCAGATCATTATTATAATTTATATAAAAATTGCTAAACTAAATTGAATGGATGCCTGCATCGCTATTTCGCTACCGACTTATCGCTAAAGCATAATTTCATCTCGTTGGTTGTTCAAACGTAATTTTCTATAATGAATGATGCCTTTTCTTTGAAAATATTCAGAATCGGAATTCAGAAGTGCAGAATCGCTTATGCCACTTTTTAAAAGGGTAAAAACAATTGGATTTTTGTCAATTTTATTTTACTTTTTAAATGAAAATAGGTCGATGTGTACATAGATAACGTCAATGGGGTACGCAGTGCCATTTTTGTGAAATTCTGGGATTTTTTTTTAAGTGAAAATAGGTCGATGTGCGCATGGATACCGAGTATGTGCAATTCTTAAAATCGCGTCAAGCAGTGAGTGATTCTGCACTTTACCCAAAATTCTATTGCCGACTTTTCATCATGGGCAATTCCCAAATTGTTAAATCCATAGGATATCAAAAAAAGGATTTAAAATCAAAAAAGGATTTAAACATTAAACTAGTATTTTAATGGCGTCTTAAGAAATATAGAACTATATAAACTTACGCAATCTGAAACCAGCGCGTACGCTAGATTTAGTGCACTGTTAAATGGGCGCGTTTGCTAAGATTTGGCGCTTTTGCGCATACATTTTCGCTGCAGCTTTTTCACGGCCCTCAAAACAGATGAGTACCAGATATTGTTACGTTATTTTCTTCCTTCACGTTCGTACGGGGCTCGTAGATTTGGAGTGAATAACGACAACACTTGATGAAGTATCGAAACACCCTTTATTTACCAATATTGTCAGGAACAGCTCCAAAACACATTTTTACAATCGTCGATGAACTACTATAGACACGCTGACATGATCAGCGACACAGCCTCTAGGTTATCAGGCTATCACGATGGAAACAGCTTCATGGCAAAGCACTAGAATACAGCTCCCGACTCTGCCTGGTCGTTCTTGGAACTCCACGTATTCTCGAGGCTCTCCACTCTACAACTCGCGATGCACTCGACGATACACAAGAGTTTAGCTCTCGACTCAGCACAGTCTAAGACAAAACTCGACGATGCACTAATTCGCGATGCACTAAAAGACTCTCTCGATGCACTCGACGACCAATTCGGCGCTAGACTTCGAGACACTCGCTCAATGACTGACTATCAGCTTGCTAGACGAGGCACACACACACACTGCGGGCTAACAGGGTTTATATAGCTTTCGACTTGTGTTCGAGAACATTCTGGGCTAAACCGGTAACAATTCGTTCCAGAAGGTTCTCCATCCGTCCATGGTATATCGCCAATTTTGCCGCCAAATGGGCGATTTCTCGCCAAATGGGGCAACCCGCCTTCTTGCTATTTTATGGCAACCCTAAACCTAGTTAGACAGATGTATGCATAAACCAACTTCCAGGCGTGGCCGTTTCGAAACATACCTTTTTTTTATTCCAGGATAATGCACATCAGATCAGTTTGGTAGACAAGACATTTATTTATTCAATCCTAGTTAAATGCGGTAATCTTTATGTACACGGGTTTTAAAAGTACGACGTAAGCATCTTAAAGAAGAAAGTATAAGCGGCGCAGAGTCGTTTGCATGGCAGAAGTCAAGAAAATGGAAGGCGTCATTACTCGCAACCAGTATTTATACTACGTAGGTGCATATGTAAAACTAACCGCGATTGGTTAATTTTAGGTTTCAGTTCCTTTCAAGCCGTGTTATGTAATTTGGAAAGATCTCGAATTTGGGAGAAAGGATGAACTCAGGGGGAGAACGTAAAATTTAGAATAGTCAACTTTAAGGTCGCCAATTATTCCTTAACATAGCCATCGTATTTCATTATATCTTACATATACACATTAAAAAAATATTGTAAAATATTCGCTCCCTAATAATAGTCACAACTCACATTTTGAGAATCGCCATTTTAGATAGTAAATAGGTCACGCAAGTCGCTAATTGACTGATGCAAGACTACAAATATTTTTAAGCAATTTTATTATATTCTCATTATTATAAGTGAATCGCTGAATAAATATTAGTCAGATTAATCCCTCTTAAAGGCAAATATTTTCATATAACTTCGTGGTGAATTATTATAAATATTTTAATGTGTATATAATTCTTTTTAATAATGTTTCTTTCTTAATTATTTTTCAGGACCGTTTTCCTGCCAGATTCAAGATTGCATACTGTGTTAACTGTCTGCAACTTGTAAACACTACTTGGGGCCTTTTCAAACCATTGTTGAAAGAAAAATTCAGAAACAGGGTAAATTCTTTTTTTTTTTTTTTTTTTTTTTTTTTTTCCCCTTAATGTTGCCAATTTTTACAGATTCCTGATGTCAAAATGTGTTCCTTATCCTTTATCGTAGACGATCATGAATGTAAAGATAGATCAAATCAAAAAAATAACAGTCGAGTTAGTTCTTTTTATCTAATAGCGGGCAGTTACCACACTTAAAGCCAGAAGTGGTGGCCATTTTATTGTGCAGACACCGAACATAGGGCCACCGTTGTCTCTTAAAAGGAGACAGACACTTCTCCGGGATTCGAACCCAGGTCCTTCGGTATCGTAGTAGGCTCGCATAACCACTGCACCGTCTGGGCGGCTTAACGGTATCTAATTTGTAAACAATTTTGGATATTTAGAATACGAAGAAAAGTTTGTACTCATCTTATTTGTTTCAGAACAGACCTAGACTTATGGACAGCAAGTAAAAAGAAATTTTTGCTTGGATTTTTTGTTTTTGCTTTTCCCCGTTAGTGGCCGTTTATCCGACTCAAGCTTGGCTACTACTAAGGCCGGAAGTGGTGGCTACTTTGTTATGAAAGCACCTACTAGTTGGGCCCCGTTACCTCCTATGAAGTAACATACAGTTAAAACCAATGTTCTCCAGGATTCGAACTCGGACCCTTCGGTATTGCAGTAGGCTCCCCTATCGACTAAGCCGCCTTGACGGCTTTTTCTTGGAAATAAAATTAAAATATAAATTCTTCAAATACAGAATGAAGGACGATTAAAAAAAAAAAAGGATTTTGATATGCTTTTACATCGTTATCAGAGAACAGCGGCTAATCTTTGGAATATGGTAACAGGTAGTTTGGCGACATTTTGGTAAGGTGATAAAGGTTACTAGCTAGGACTTTAGCAGTGTACATGGATAAAGTCAAGAGTGTGCGCAATGCCATTTTTTGTGCAATTCTGTTAATGTATTTTTAAGTGAAAATAGGTCGACGTATACATGGATGATACCGTGTATGTGCAATTCTTAAAAACGCGGCAAGCAGTGCGCGATTCTGCACTTTCTCCCAATTTCGCACCTAATCTTCGTCATGATTAAGCACTTTTGTTCCATAAAAGTTCTAGCATAAGCGTAATTCGGCTAGCAGATTGTTGGAAAAAAAAAAAAAATTTGAGTAAAAAAAAAAAAAAAAATGCCTTTACTTTGTGAAAACTTGTCTAGAAAAAAATAGCAGGTTGCTGTAGCAGGGTTGGTCGCCAAATTTTCGCCAAAAAATCTCCAAGTTACCATAATCCGAAGATTAACCAGAACAGCTAACAAATATTTAAAATCAAACTGCTTTCCCGATTCTAAGCCTAGATAAACTTTCAGATTTTAAAATATAATTCCATTAAAACAATATTTTTTTTTAGTTTGTTATTAGAATTGTAACTTTTAGTGTTTTTACTTTTATTTTGCTGCAAAGTAGAAGCTTCTTTTTTACTTTTTATCCCTGTCGTATTGAACTTAATTTCTACTTTCACATTAAAGCATTTACTTGTAAATACATGATATTCTAATTATAGTTTTCTAATATTTCTCCTATTTATGTCATTTTATGCTATTAAAAGAAATAAGAAATGGAAAAGCAAATGTTAGAACTGCTAACAGTGATTTCTTTCACCGAGTTTTATTTAAAAGTAAAGATTTACTTGCATTTCTATTATTTGGCAGCAGTATTTTACGTAAAGTAAAATAACCCTCTCAGAAGTTTCAAAATCTATCCCAAAGTTTCCCAAACTGTGTTTCCCCGAACAATGCTGTACCGCAAATAGCGAGTAAACGTTCCGCTAAAAGATTTGAAACTAATCATAGAGAACAACGAAATATTATCAGCTTTGTTTGTATTTAACATAATTTAAAACAACTCGTGAAACGAATTTTAAAAAGAAAACATAAAACAGTGTACTTAAATTCACGCAAGTAATAAATTTAGTAACATAGCTCGACACAAGATGATTTACATTAGCAGCCAAATACATGCAGAATGCATTTTTTTTTTTTTTTTTTTTTTATTTTATTTTTTTTTTTTTTTAAGTGTTTCTGTTCCATGCTTTTGAGCTTGTAGTGTTGCGTGCCCCCAACTTGTCAGCAACTATGGTAGTGACTGCTATGAACTGTAAATTACACAAACTCGTAAGAAGGGTTTAAATCCCTTTTTATTCCACTTTAGAAATAACAGCTGTGTAACAGCTAAAACAGAACTGTGAAACTAAAAATTAATGACAGGATGAATAAACAACTAGATCACTACCTACGAGGTTCTGAAATCGTAACTAACTTAACCGCGTTCTAAAATACAGCTGAGATTCAGCAAGCTTACTGAAAGATTCAACGAACTGCCGAGATAGGCACACAGGCCGAAACGCGCGGTTCTTAAATTTCTACCTAGCAACCTTCACGTTAGCGATTCAAGAAGCACCCATACAGTCTCGTTTCCCTTCTATTTAAACTGAACTTACTTCTGCTAAAATTTGAATAGACTGCGCGTTCTACTACAATTTACATACTCTGGCATTGGCAATTCTAGGGGAAAGTAAAGTCTTGACAGGAAAGATAGCTTAAACTTAAAATACATGTTAGTTAAAATAAATATAAACCCTACAGCTTTCAACGCGTGAAGCGGTGGGCTTGTTACAGAAATAGCACTTACCAGTACTTTCTAATAGCTTGCCCTAAGACGTTGCCGTTGGTTTGACTTGCAGGACGACACGGTCCTCCTTGTCAATGAAGACTTTATAACCAATCTAGTTCGCCTCGATCATACCAAGCTTGTTAACCCCTTCGAGCCGGGTAGCGAAAACGCGCGCTTATCGCTGAGGCCGGCAGTGTCTTACGCGAGCGTCTCTCCAGGGCCGGGGGCTTTTTTGCTACTAAGCCTAAATCCATGAAATTTCCGAAGTATCAACGCATTGTTTAATAATGCTCTATAGAGTATTTAAACGGCTTATGCTTTATAAATATTTTTATATATATACTTTAATTACCTTATTTCTTGTTTAAATGCATATTTTACACATTTTATTTTAATTACTCACCATTTTATGACTTTTAACATTATACATCTGAAAACTAAATATATTACATAAAATTCTCTTTTCGTATGAAAAATTTTAAAACAGTGATCTACACACAGTCCTACGTTACATTCCTTGAACTCGTAATAACTCATTTGCCGTTTTGGAGGATTTTTCCGGGAATGTGAACAAACGAAGCATCGTCGTCTCATTTTCTTATCAGTCTCTTCTGAACAAAGTTTTGGAAAATGTCTTTCAGCTAATCTTTCAGAATCAATATCAGAATTTCAGAATCAATATCTGATATATTTTGCATCATTTCTACTATTTCATGCTCTGTTAAACATTTTTGACGCTTCGACATTGAAACGGTAAAAACAGAAAGAATTCGCGTCTAACAAGATCTAATTATTTTCTAAAAACTGAACTGTAAACGGAAATACTCAACGCTTTAGCACATATAAAACTTCTACTTACAATAAACAACTACCACGTGCGAATAAAGTGCGATTTAAAGAGACGTCATAAATCACGCCATTCGGAAACATTTCGTTTCCCGTTTGTTTATATAATCAAAAACACGTGTATGTGAGTCATGCTTCTCTCATTTCGAGTAGAAGGTCTAATTTACATGTATCTGAAATCATATGGACATACAGTGCCATCTTGTGGCAGAAATTATAGTTTGAAAAACGTTCCAAAGTACTGGCACAAATACGTGACAGTCAGTAGAGAATGGAACAATCCTCTGGCACGCCTGCGTGTCGGCCGGTAGGTAAGTGCGTTCGTTGCTGGCACGTATACGTGACAGTCGGCGCGAAGGGGTTAAACACGATTTAATTCGCAATAATAAATGAAGGCATTTTGTTGTTGCGAAGCTACGTTTCTCTAGATTGGCAACAAATCCATTACTCTGCTGTTTCATATGTAAACAAGCAATGACCGCCATCAAAAAAATTATTAGGATTAGCGGCACTTAAACAACTTTAGAATCGTTGATAATTCTAAAATTATTGCATACAGATTTACTAAAGCCATAAAAACCTTAACCGGAAGATAAGAACAACACAATTCAATCATTTTTAAAGCAAAATTGTACAATTTATAAGCATATAAGAATAAAGAAACTGAGATCACTGAGCCGGGTAACAGAGTGAATATACATATAAATATATTTATATACGTTTGGCGCGGCTGATTGCAACCAAATTGCGAGGTGCACATTTATATGTTATAGAAGTCCTATATACAAAATTTCAACGTTCTGAGGCTACTCGTTTTTGAGTTATGCGAGGTACGTACGTTCGTACAGACGCCACGAAAAATTCTCTTCAGAATTAATTTTAAAACAGTTTTATAATTTTTTTGGAGGAAAAGAGTTTTTTATTCTGTCCTTACGTACAGATATCACGCAAAAACATCGTTAAATTGCATTCGATAGCGGTCAAAATGGATATTTTCGTTGATATATGCTGCCTGAAACTTTTCGCGATTACAATACTTCCTTTTTACTTCGTACAAGGAAGTAAAAATAAATAAAATCTCAAAGGTTTCATATTTTATATAACGTCCAAAGAAGCTTTTTTTTTTTTTTTTTTTTTTTTTTTTTTTTTTTTTTACACTATGTGCGTTAACTTTACTTATTAAATATCATGTTTTTCGCACTTAAACCATAAAATTCACTTTGTAATGTATTTTGTAGTAATTGACAAAACAGATAATCTTCTTAGTAGAACATAAATTTTATTTTTATTTTACGGAGATAGATAATTTGAAGAAAATTATTTTGTGGCAACATTTTCGTACAAATACTAGCTGGTAAAAACTTTAGAATCCAATTTTAAAACAATTGCTCACGTTGCTGAGCAACGGTTACATAATACAAATAAGGCGTTGCCACTTCAACAATTACTATTATTATATTTATTATTTATTAAATAACAAGATATTACAACCTCAACAGCAATATCGCAAAATCATTTCAAAATGAGCATATTTTTAGAATTTCCGATACACATTCCGATGGCGCACTGGAGATAATTTTTTTTTCTGTACAACGTTGCCATTCCCCGCTTTGAAATCGTTGTGTTAGTTCATCAAAAATTCGTTAAAGTACTACTTAAAATTCTCTTTTCGTATGAAAAATTTTAAAACAGGGATCTACACACAGTTCTACGTTACATTCCTTGAACTCGTAATAACTCATTTGCCGTTTTGGAGGATTTTTCCGGGAATGTGAACAAACGAAGCATCGTCGTCTCATTTTCTTATCAGTCTCTTCTGAACAAAGTTTTGGAAAATGTCTTTCAGTTAATCTTTCAGAATCAATATCAGAATTTCAGAATCAATATCTGATATATTTTGCATCATTTCTGCTATTTCATGCTCTGTTAAACATTTTTGACGCTTCGACATTGAAACGGTAAAAACAGAAAGAATTCACGTCTAACAAGATCTAATTATTTTCTAAAAACTGAACTGTAAACGGAAATACTCAACGCTTTAGCACATATAAAACTTCTACTTACAATAAACAACTACCACTTGCGAATAAAGTGCGATTTAAAGAGACGTCATAAATCACGCCATTCGGAACATTTAGTTCCCCGTTTGTTTATATAATCAAAAACACGTGTATGTGAGTCATGCTTCTCTCATTTCGAGTAGAAGGTCTAATTTACATGTATCTGAAACCATATGGACATACAGTGCCATCTTGTGGCAGAAATTATAGTTTGAAAAACGTTCCAAAGTACTGGCACAAATACGTGACAGTCAGTAGAGAATGGAACAATCCTCTGGCACGCCTGCGTGTCGGCCGGTAGGTAAGTGCGTTCGTTGCTGGCACGTATACGTGACGGTCGGCGCGAAGGGGTTAATAAATAAGAAGCACACAAAAATAAAACAAATATGCAAAACAAGACAAATTGGAAAGGAGCAATACAAAGCATCAGATTTAAATTTTTTAAGGATTAAAGGAAGATTTAAATTTTTAAATTTTTATTCGAGTAGTTTTAAAAAAATTAGCTCTCAAAATTTCAGCTCCTCAATGTTATTTGAGTTTGGTATATATTTTTTAATCTCTCCTCTTTTTCTTAAGCTTATTTGATTCTTCATTCACATTTCGAAATTCACGTACATTCCAAATAAAATTTACCCATGTTTTATGATTTATTTTTAAAATTTGTATTTTAAAATATTTTTTTTAATTTTTCAAAAAAACATTTTGAAATATAATATATAATAATTTTACCATCATCTTAAAGTAGACGTATTTCTAAGCACACCTGCAAAAAATTACAAGTTTTTATTCCAAATTTCCGAAGATATACGTGAATTTATATATTGGCGCGTTTTGAAATTTGGCATATTTGTTGAAAGCGTTAAAACGTCAAATTTGGTTTACAAACTTTGCTAAAATTACTCTTCCGCTCATGCACAATGTAAAAAGGTAGGAACGAGGTGCCTTTTTTTCCGGTCCTGCATAATGGAAGGAAAGGTAAATTGGTTGCCATATATTGAAAAGTGCGCCAAGTGAATTATTCTTGGCGCAAACTGAAAATTTACGCCAAGAAAAACTTTTGAATTTCTCAGTAAATTTCATACCAAATTTTACAAAATTTAATATCTAGGCATAATTTGAGTCTTAGAATCGAAATATGGTATGTAATTTCAGAAAAATTGGTATGTAATTTCATAAAGAGCCCGATTTTATGTCAAAATACCTATGTTAGAACAATGCTATATTTAAATCTAATATATATCATAAGTCGCGCTTTCGAGACATGCAATTTGGAGTTTGTCAATTGGTCCTTTAGAACGGGAGATATAGAACAGTACTCTTTTTTTTTCCCCCTCAGTGTGCGTGAAAATCTGTAAATAGTAACTATAACACAAAGCTATGCCATGTAAAATCTAAACCATTATTCGAAGTTTCAATGGTGTGTTATACAAATTGTGCCTAAAAATACTTTGAGCCTGCGGACATTGACATTTGCTTTCAAATTCAGTGTAATTTTATTTAACAATATGTTTCGTACCCGTACGCTGTATGGTGGCCATGACGGCATTTTGCTAACATTTCCTTGGCTTCAATTTTGTGATTAATTTTAGAATAAATGGAGTATCCTTTTAGGGCGACTGGGAATGAGGGCACCTAGTCTCCAAATAATGGAGGTGACGAATTATAATCCACCATATTTTAATTAGGGCTCCGCTTCCTGAGTCATTAAGGTTATACCGATACATGAAAGTGACAAATGTACAGTGTCCTCATCGGAATTCGACTTCCGGAACTTCCGAATACTCTCCGAGCGTGCTTCCAGTTACACCACGAAGGCATCATCATCAAGAATGTGACTTATATCTGTGTTAGCTTATATTTGCATTAACTTGTATCTGCGTTTTCATTTAATTTATATATGTGTTATCATTTATTATAACTAAAAATCCGAATTTACTCTAGTGTCCTTTTTAAAAAGTGTTCCGCGAAGAGAAATGTGTCTGAAATCTATCCTAATATTTTGAGACTGCCATTTTTTTAAGATTATTTTTCTAAATTAATCTTGTTGTTCTTAAGTTGAAAGTTAATAAAAAAAAAACTTTAAAGATGCGAAACTAAGCAACTTTTCTCATACGACTTAAAATTCATTTTCTATTTAAACCAACAAATGAAAACTATTAAAATAATTCCTTTCATCTTCTTCATAGGTGAAAATACTGAGCACAGATATGAAAGAATTGCATCAGTTTGTGGATCCCAGCATTCTTCCGATAGAGTATGGAGGCGTTATGCCGCCTTCCGATTGTCAAGAGATGGCACAAATGGTACTGGACAAGGAACAGTACTTTAACTTCAATCGCAAGTTTGGGTTTCCCGCCAAAGAAAACCACAAGGTCCATGACGTTTGATCCACTGGGTGCAACTATGAAATTCCTGATATTACCAATGCATCATGGTCAATTTCGAACGCGCTAAGACAGGAAGGATTCAGAAACACAGTTAACCAAGTCCAAAATGTTGTTAGGATGCAATCACAAATATTAAAAGTGAATCCAAAAAAAAATAAAATTGCCTTGAATCACACATACTGACTGTGCTTGCTTATGAGATTTATACAGAAATGAAACTGTAATAATTATTCTATTAACTATCTGTTGAAAGATATGAGCATTAACTCAGCAACTAATGTACATGTACCATTCATTCAGAGCTAGTATATATTCACACAAGAGGCTGGACCGAAATAACTCAACATGAAAAGCATGCTTAAGGGATGGGATATCTTCAAAGAATGCTTTCTGGGAGAAACTCGTCAGAGAAATTGGATTGGATTCATTATTCGGGTTACGAAAATAAGAACTATTTATCATACATGCTCCGCCTTTAGACACTACTCGTGCTTGCTCCTTTACGTCATATTAGTCGAAAATGCTCCTCGGAGAGCAGTTTAGAATGTCACCCTTGCCTCTCACCCTTGGTATCCCATTCCAGTGCTAGTCGGATTTCTAAATTTCAATTCTTTCCTCACCCCCCAAAGTTACCCCGGATTCCCAAGGTCACCAATTCTGGGGCCACGGAGATTATGAAGGTTGTGGGGCTTACCAAAGCCACTTTTGGTTACTGCACTACATACTCGGATGGCACACACCAATACCCTCCCCGACAGCATGGGCTGCCCTTTTCAGCAGCAAGAGCCAGAACAATGCTTTTTATGCCCTCAGTGCCGAGACTATATTAAACCTCTGGGGTAGATTAAGGAAAAGCACATTAGCTCTATCTATCTGCTTAAGAGCAATGCTACCTTTGGATCCTCAGATTCATGTTATGTATAACTAAAAAAAAAAACACTCGGAAACTAGCCCGTTCGACAGAATTTTAACAGGACTTGATATAAAAAACTGACCTGCGTTTTAAGATATAAAATCCCCAAACCTCATACATCCATTAAAAGATCCATCCATTCCATTCAAAGATCGGAACAAACTACCAGCATTACCGCAGGTTTATCTCCTCGGCCACTGGTGAACCCAAACTACGAAGTAAGAAAAGTAATATTCAAAATACGCAGCGCCGAATGGTGGGGGAAAAAATATAAGTTTGAGCGCGAGGACATTCAATTCATAAAGTCAGTTACAATATAAAATAATATAATGTAAACGTGGACTTGGTTCTCTTTTACTCTGAAGCCATTGCATGTTTTTAGAGGCATTTTGATAATGGAAGAACTGCTGCAATAGCAAAGAATATGGACCACATGGACTTATTTATTGCTTTTATTGTATTTATTGCTGCTGTATTTAAAGTGGACTATTGGCAAACGTTGCAATTTTAATTTGTAATAAAACATGTAACATTCATTTAATCAAGTAAATGTTATTTAGTAATAAAATGATTATTTTTCACTCTGAGTTTTCCCAAATGATTTTCATAGTCCATTCTGCTTTAAGATTAATATTGATGTGTAAAACTAAAATGAGGGGGGGGGGGAAGTAAAAAAATATGGAACAAAATCTGAAAGCTTTCAGATTTTATGTTACGACCAGAACTGCGATTTTTTTTCATTTACATATACATACACGTTACGAGAGCATTTGGGCTAACAACCCTTTAAGCTTAAAATATTTAAAAACATCATATCTTTAGAATTTCCGAGACAGTCTTTCGAGCTGGATAAAAATAATTTATTCCGCACAAAGCGTTGCCACTGCTAGCTTTAAAATCGTTGAGATTCTTAATCAAAAATTCGTTAAAGTTAAAAAAATATCAAATAGATAATAAAACAAATTCCAAATTCAGGCTTCCAGGTGCCCATATTCGAGAGAAGGACTATGTTATTCAAAATTGGGTGTCTCAGGTATCGTCGTTATTCACAATGCGTGATGCACACTTATGCAGAATCTTCATTACTTAATATCTCTAAATATAATACAGGGCAATAATATTTGGTGGCAACAATTTGTAAGGCGATACAGCGGTTATAGTGATTCGACTCAAAACGCCGTTTCAAGTCTAAGAGTCCTCTGGGCTAATGCCCCTTTGGGTTATTATGAATAAAGTAAGTAAAATATATTTACAGTAAAATACTGCAGCAATACTAAGAAGCAGTGCCACAAGATTACGCCACAAAGCCGTTAAAATATCAGAAATCCACGTTGAATCCCAAGGTCGTTTATCACCTTCAAGGACACACGAAATTCGTGCGTTGCTGCACTTCTCATTGGTGCTGATAGATGGCGACACGAGTAAGCAACTAATTATCCACCAGTATCAAGCGAGCATGCCGCTACTACAGCAACGTAATCTCTACAAATGGCAAGCGTAAAATAAAAAGACAAAAAGAAAAACTAACGGAAGTCTACATATCTGATTTAAACAATTTTATAAACATAAAAAACTGAAAGCTTACAGATTTTATGTTACATCTAAAGGGGCGTTCTTTTAATGTTTTGTGGGTTACCTTTATTTATTAAATATCATGTTCTTCACACTTAAACCATAAAATTCAGTTCAACAGCAATATCGCAAAATAATTTTAAAGTGAGCATATCTTTACAGTTTCCGATACACAGTCTCATGCGCTGGAGACAAAAAAATTTTTTCGTACAATGTTGCCGTTGCTCGTTTATGCACATACATTATTTTTAATAATAAAATGTGTTGTGCCACATATTAATTCAGTAAGAAAAATTATCAGTATAGTAAACATAGGTTTAAAATCTACGCATTCTTAATATAATTTTCTGTTTCCTCTATCTTTTAAGTTCAGTTGTCCTTTAGATCTGTGAATGGAGTACACTGCAATTGTATGAAGAAATACAAATGAATAAGTAATTAATTAAGTATGAAGAAATACAAATGAATAAGTGGATTGCAATTAGAAAACTTAAAAAATTAGAGAACAGTTCAGTCTGTTACAAAATCAAATGCAGGACCGGCTAAATTTTCTCAAGAAAATGACAAGTATGAAACTATATGAGATGGAAATAAAAATTAGTTTTACTTTATACACACTACTACAGCACATTTTAGCCTATTCATATAAAATCGTTTCACTCTTCAGACTAAACTATAGCTGTTTGTCTGATTACTCTCCGATTTCAAAACCTATGCAAAAATACGGTTGCTTTTGTATCCAATTTTAAAATCTATACTTTCTTTAACATTAAATTAGGTAGAAAATATGGTACTTATTCATAAACCTTCTCATTAGGTACTCTGGAAATAGCCTTTTTTTACCAGATAAATATGAAGAAATTTTACTAAAACATTATTTGAATTTTTTGGTTTCCCCTGTCAGCTAAATTTTTGTCAGTTTAATGCCCTGTCCCCTAAATGATTTCTCGGCTACTAAAATGGCTGTTAAGTGTACCGTCGGCTAAATGCCTGTGTCGGTTAAATGCCCGTGTCGAATAAATGTACTTGTCGGTAAATATCCTGTCAGCTAGCTGCTGTCAGTTAAATGTCTCATTGGCTAAGTGTCCACAACCCAAATAAAAATAACTAAAAAAAGGGGTGAAGCTTTCACATTTTATATCGTGGCCAAAGAAGCATTGTGTGTGCTATCTTTATTAAATATCATGTTCTTTGCACTTAAAAGCAATATCACAAAATACTAAAAACAGCATATATTTAGAATTTCTGATAGACTGTCTTGCGCACTGGAGATAGTTGTTATTTTTTAACTGTACAGTGTTCCTGTTGCTCTCTTTGAAATCGTTGAGTTAATTACTCAAACATTCGCTAACGTTTTATAAAATATGAAATAGACAATAAAACATACTCCAAATTTGGGCTTATAGGTGCACATATTCAGATGGAGGACTATGTTATTCAAAATTTGATGGCTCTAGGTACCGCTGTTCTTCCACAATGCGAGATATACACATTCGTGTAGGTTCTTCATTACTTAATTTCTTTACAGATGCTACAGGGCGATAATATTTGGTGGCAACAATTTGAAAAGTGATACAATGCTTTTATTGATTCGACGCAAAATGCCGTACCGAGACCAATAGCCTTTCTTGCCTAATGACCCTTTGGGCTAAAAGGAAAAAACATTCATGCCACATGCAGGTAATTAAAATAGCACAAGTGAAATTCAAGGTTAAATAACATAGTCAAAAACTGCACAAACCTGTCTACTTAAACTACCTCAATTTAAATGATGCACATTAAACGTCGGCTAGTAAAATGGCTAAAGCCAGAATAAACTTAGTATACAGCTGGTGCGTAAACTGCGAGAGAGCCTGCTGAAAGCTTTTAACTCTCATACTTTAAAATCTTTGGCTTAAATCAGTGATTTTCAACCTGTGGGGAGCGTCCCCTTAGGGGTGCATAATAACTCTAAATGGGGGTGCGATCATATAGAGAAAAAATATTATTTAAAAAACTGATTAATTTACTGAAAGGAAAGCAAAACAACAGAATTCTGATATAATAAAAGATAAAATACATATTTACATTGATATAATACACTTAAAAATGGATTGTATCAGTACTGCATAATGCATTTTTTTAAGTCATCAATACTAAATTAAAAACAAATTTAATAATAATTAGAGACTCCTTTGGATATTTAGCTGATATCCATATTTCGTCTTCAAACCAGCCATCACAGAAAATCTGGTTTTGCAAAAGTTGGATGTTTAAAATGTAATAATATACGAAATACTCTTGTTTTCAATGCAGAAAACCCATCACCCAGCCCTCCCAAAATTTACGGCAAAACGTCCTGATGGCGAAAAGTTTCATTCCCCTATATTCTTGTTCGTTTTACTGCTGTAGGATATAAATATGACCACTGCACCTGCTGCTCTCCAGTCTTGCAGATTTCTTTGCTCCTGATAAAGAGTTACTTGTACCTGTTTGCCCTCGAAATCAACCGAGTTTTTGACCGAATCTATGCAAAACACAAGACTGTTGCTTTGCTAATTTTATGAAGCAATTCTGATGCTAAAAATTAAACGCAATCACTGACTCTTCGAATAGAAAAGAAAATGAAAAAGAAAAAAAAAAAAAAAGGCTGGGTAAACTGCCATATAATTGCTGTGAAATCTAGTGGATAAAAGGCCAGAAAGATACACTGCCTTAATAAAGTTTTGCCATTAAATCACAGAGTTAAATTATCTCCCTCTTTTAAGATTACATCTTCATAAATAAAAGGTTTCAAATATTAAACACATGAATAATTCTCAAATTGTTTAATATATATACTTTATTCACAAGCAACGGAATATATGAATAAAATATTACTGAATAATTAAGAAAACTAGAATATAAAACAATTAAACAAATAAAATATTTTTCAAATGCAGGTCCCTTCATCTTTTTTTTCTAAGTACACAAAAGAGAAATATCAGTCCTATGACCTTTATTTACTTGATTTTCATATTAAAAGGAATGGTAAAGAAATCAAACCTAATAAAGTACTTTATTTTACAAAAATAAGAATATATATATTTACAAAAAAGTTTGCAATAAGTAGTACAGGCCATACAATATATTTCTAAAAATTCATGCAATAGAACGTTCAGAATAATTTATTTGCTGACAGATAGTATTAACACTTTATTATACACTTCCTCATGCTTTTAAAAATAGATTAAACTTAAAAACTGTGAATTGAAAACAAAATATACAGAGTTCTTCATAATTCTGCAACATGATTTTAAAATTCTTAACAAATAAACTACTCAAGTGATATCAAATTTTAATGTTCTGAAATAAAACTAAGTTTTCTCTCATTCTTTTTTAATCTATTTCACAAATGTTCAACATGTCTCTCCTCACATGACAAACATCTATGCAATAATCCATTTCATTCCACAGTTAAAAGTGTTGCTCCATATCGGCCAGTTTTGATCAACTGCGACGTGCACATCTGCATACCATATCTGACAAGAGCCACAATACTGATGATACAATTGCAATGATATTGGAAATTATCTGAGAGTGCAGGCATAAAGACTGGCATAAACTTCGGTAAATTACAAGTTTAAGTCGTATGTCCCAATAAAGAAGCTGTACACAGAAAGCATTTCCCATACCACTTACTGATACTATTGAAAATAGGTGCAGCTTATGAAATTCTGTCGAAATCATCACTGCACAGTTAAAATAATGCACCAGAAAATCATGGACACTATGTAATCATGTCTTTCATTAAAAAAAAAAAAAAAAAAAAAAAAAAACACTTTAAGAATAGCTTCCTCTGTCATGAAACAATTGGTAGTTTATTTTACAAAAATTCGTTTAAATGTTTTACAGAATCATGAATAGCGCTGTATGTTCAAAGCTTGATACAATTTTAAATCATGTTTATCATACTATCAGCACTGAACAGAATACAGAAACAACTAATTTCATTGTCTGTGTCATAAAAGCTGTGCATTCACTTGTGCATAAATGCATTTAAATTACATTAAAACTATCAATGTAAATTTCAGCTGACTTTCAAACCAAAAAAAAATTACAAATTTATTTGCTTTTTTAAGATAAGAAATGATATTTAATGTAATAATCCCACTCTTGTTTTTTATGTGAATTCCATTTTGTATCAACAATTAAAAAATGTTACCCATAAAATCTTGATATGATATTATTTGAATAAACCATGTAGCTTATTTGGCATATTTCATTCTTTTTTATTTATAACATAGTATTCTCAACGTTCCACTACATTAAACAACAGTAGTGTTATATATTGGCTTATAATAGAACATGTAACCAAATTACAACAGATAAAACTTTTTATATTAAATGTTACCACATTTTAAAATCACTTCTAAAACCACTTAGACAAATTTCAGGAAGTTGAATAATCAAAAATATTCAACTTCCTATAATGAATCTTTACAAAATTAAACAAAATTCATCTCAATAAAAACATTTTAAAATTTAAAAAAAGAAAACATTTAAAGATAGTCATTGTAATCTTTGTGTATCTGTATGCTGCCCATCGAAAATCACTGACAGCAAAAGTGGAAACAGCTTCCAGCAAGTGCTGAAGTTTGAATATGGAATCAGTTTTCTGTTTTCCTTTCACAGATCGTCATCTCCAATACCTTCGAAGGCATCATTCTCAACTAGAGGTTTCGGGGAAGAAGGTCCATTCTTAACATGTTTAGAAGAAAACTTTTCCTGCACATAAAGAGAAAACATATTTCAATAAACAAACCAGACATTCTAAGGGATCAATTTAAGATAAGATTTAACCCATTAGCCGCTGGTGTTGCATTGACGCAACGGTCAAAATAAATGTGTATACCAATATAACTACCTAAGATATTTTATACCAGCAGATGATTTTGTGTAGGGAATATTATGAAGATTATTTCTGTAAAAAAATATTTGCCTTCAACAATCATTTTGCTTATAATAATTAATCTCATACTTTAAGCAAAATTTAAACAAAACTTTCGACCGGGTATTTTTGCTGAAAATATTTAATGAAAGAATCGCAGTCTTTATGAGTGATTTATTTATAGTCAAGATTACCGTTAATCAGAACATTACATCAGTCAGATGTTTGTGTTGGGAAGAAAGGGAAAACAGGTGTTGCGTTGACACAACGTCAGCACGAAACGGGTAGTCAATCTCCTTTTTCACTCATTCCTTTCGATGTTCTGGTTCATGTTCTGGTTTTTAGAGCGAGGTATCTTACATTAGAAGAAGCCCTTCAAAGATTTTTTCATGAAGAAACAGATGATGATAATGTTAATAATGACCAGAATGAAACTGATATTGCTGTTGTTCCCCCAGAAATTGCAGAGTCTAGTGACGAAGAAGAAAGGAATAGCAATGTTTTAAATAATGATAATGATATTTTGCCAAATGATACTGTTGGGGAAGTTGAAATCCACGTAAGAAGTAAGTTTCAGCCCTCTAAAAGCAGTTATAGTCATACTAAAAAGTTTAAAAAGCAGAAGACTGAAATCTTGAAGTGAATAAAAAAGGAACTGTTAGTTATGTCTCAGAACATGAAGAAAGAGATAGAAGAGAAATTATAAAAGACAAAACACAAGGTAAAACTAGTGCACAAATTTTCGATTTTCTTTTTGGTTTAAACATTTATTTTCTTCTCGTTGAACAGACATATATATACGCTCAGAAAAAAAAAAAAAAAAAAAAAAGCCCAGAATTTATTGCATCTGAAGCCTATATGAGAAGATTTATTGGAATATTATTGCTTACAGGATATCATTCTTAACCTCAAGAAAAAAATGTATTGGTCTTTTGATAAGGACATTTTTGTTCCTGTTGTATGAGAATTGATATCACGTTTGCAGTACAGGAATATGAAGCACAATTTGCATTTGACAATACTGATATATTATATGAGATGAGGCCGTATCTAAACTTACTAAATATCACCACTTTTTACTACTGGAAATACACTCTTTTATATTTCAGACATGAGAATGCATTATTCCTTTTGCAAACTCTTATTGAGAGTATAGAATTAGCCAGAAATAGATCAGCAAGACGAAGACCTAGTAAATTCAGCATTCAAAATCGATGGAGATCGTAGACATTTTATTGTAAAGTCCGTTGATAACAAAAGACTTTGTTGTAAAGAGTACCATAGCCAGATTGTTTATAGATGCAAAGTATGTAATGTAGCTTTACATCATGATTGTAATCAAGCTTTTCATGTTTGAATCTTTCAAATGAAATAATCTGTATTTGTAAAAGAAATACAACGTATATTTTAATATTAAATTAATTAAAAGTAAAATGATTTGTAGATTTATAAAACGTTATACAGCTAAAAAGTAATCCTGCGCTCCACTCAAAAGAAACATCACACGAGCACAATCTTACTCACTAAACATCCGTAGTCCTTTTTCCGCTGACGTTGCACTCGCTTTTTCCACTAAGAGCATTTTTTTTATTTTCAATGTGTGTGTGCGTGTTTATGGCAAAGCCTCGAGGGCTATCTGCCTAAGGGAAGGGATGCCTTCATGGAGGACTTTCTAAGGGAAACTGGCTCATGTACACGTTACACATGGGGAAAACCACGAAAATGCCCATGCAGCCAGGATTGGCCCATGCAGTGGGAAATCGCCCATGCAGTGGGATTCGAACCTCGGACCGAACTACCAGTGTTCAGCGACTTTACCGCTCGCCCGCTGGTGAGCCCTTTTATTTTCAATGTAAATTTATGTTATAAATGCTTAATTTAATATTTGTTATTATTTTCATGAGAAAAGAAACATTCCTTGTACTTTTGGCGGTTAATGGGTTAAGCAATTACAATACTAATCATGATGTTAATCTAGAATTATATTCTCTGAAAACATCACACATCATGGTGGAACGTTTGGTGACCCCCCAACCATGTCTGGTACCCGGGTAGCTAGCCTGGTTGGACTCTTGAGTGTCACAGGAGTTCCTGAACTGTGCTCTCACGTATTGCCAGCGGTCATATTATCAGGGTTGTGGAGTTGGTAGGGAAAATGACCGAATCCAACTCCTGAAATTTTAAAGACTCCGACACCCTCATATAAACAGCGGTGGCCAAAATTGTGGACACTTTTGGAAATTTTTATGTTTTTGAACTTTGTATGCTTATAGAAAGCGTTACGTTTCGCTAAATGCAGACTTGTACATATCGTATTAAAGAGAATTTATTACTGAATTCAATACAAAACACAAAATTAAATTATTTGCAATATAAAAAACGTTATATGTACTTTAATATAAATAAAAAACACAGTTATGAAGTGATTTGTAATGTCTAGCTTTCCTGGCCAATCACTGTTCTTGTTCTGAGAACCAATCAAATGTTAGTAACTGCCAGTAGAAGCTGACATCATGTTTACACTTGAAACAATTCATTATTTTGCTTTGTTCTGTAGAAGGAGGACCTGTTTCTTATACACTGCAATTACAAGTAGGAATTTTTGTAAAAATTTTTAATATTTAGTCAAGAAGCAATGACATCAAATAAAAGAGTAGATTGGACACCTAGAAAGAGATGTAATATTATTGTGTTACGTTTCTGTCAGTTCAAGAACAATCAGGAGAAGATTAACAGATGTTGGACTGAGAGGTAGAATTCCACAAAAAAAACCTTACCTTAATTTTCAGCAATGAAAAAAGACTACAGTGGGCAAAGGAACACATTAATTGGACAGATGATCAGTGGTCACAAGTTATATGGAGTGATGAAACTAATATATAGTTATTCGGTAGTGATGGGCGAAAATATGTAAGACGTAGAATAATAGGAGAAGAGCTACATCCTGACTGCATTCAAGCAACTGTGAAGAACCTAGTTAGTGTTATGATTTGGTCATGCATGTCAGCAGATGGTATTGGTCACCTTCATGTCATCAATGGGACACTGAATGCCAGAAATACATTGACACTATTCTAGAACCAAAACTTCTACCTTCCATCAGAAATCTCTTTCCCAACAATGCTTTGTTTATTTTTCAGCAGGATTCTGCTCCTTGCCACACGGCCAAAATATGGAAAGAGTGGTTTCGTACAAAGAGCATTGAATTGTTGTCATGGCCAGGAAATAGTCCTGACTTCAATCCTATCGAAAATTTGTGGCATTGTTTGAAAACTCTTGTCCGAATGAGGCGCCCATCAAATAAAAGGAAACTAATTGAGGCCATAATTGTTTCCTGGCATCATGTAATAACAAAAGAAGAGCTTAAAACTCTTGTCAGCTCAATGAAACGCCGATGTGAAGCTGTAATCAAAAATAAAGGGTACCCTACTAAGTACTGATAACTCACTGCAATCATTCATCACTATCTGTATATCGATAATTATTATCGTTTAACTTTTTTTGTATTGCAAATAATTGAATTTTGTGTTTTGTATTGAATTCAGTAATAAATTCTTTTTAAATGATATATACAAGTTTGCATTTTGTGAAATCTAACTTTTTCTATAAGCATACAAAGTTCAAAAACATAAAAATTTCCAAAAGTGTCCACAATTTTGGCCACCGCTGTATATGTATATATATGTAAACATGGGTTACAGCTTATTTTTTTAATATAAAAGAAGTAACAGATGTTACAGGAAAAGAAATTGATGGCACAGCAAATTAATTATATTAATTAGCATTTATTATGAAATGGTAAAGCTGGCATTAGTTATTTTCTAAGAAACAGTATAGCTTTGGTGAGATCTTCTTTGTTGGAGGGCCATAGATTCAATTTGTTCTTAAAAGTTATAAAAGTTATAAAGAGGTGTCTTGCAAGCTCAATCATATTTTTCTATTTCTTCAAAGGGCAATGTAGAAATCTCGTTTTTATTTTTTATTTTTTTTATTTATTTATTTATTTATTTATTTTTTTTTTTTCCCATTTTTATAGCTAAAGGCTCTTGGTTCTTTATTTTCATTAGTCTTTTCAATATCATCCAAAAATATTTCTCAAAATCTAATTCATCACTGGAAGAGGATGATAAAGACTCAAATACAATGTCTGCAGTTTGACTGTCCTGATTTGAATTCTCTAATTACTCTGAGAATAATTTCATTCTTAATAACAGTTCATAGATGGCTTTCTTTGCCTTTTTAATTCGTTTGTCATCCAAGAAAATTCAGTATTTTGGATCTACATATATTGAACCCAGCAAGATCTCATAGTCTAGCAAACTAGTTTCTCTTTTCTTCATTAAAGAAATATTTCCTTCTGCAATACAGAAAGAACAAACATCACATTCTTCCATTCTCGCCTCCTGTCAGTTCTTCAGACTGCAGCTTTGTTGTGGCTATATACAACGTAGAAAGAAAAGTTGTGGCTATATACAATGTAGAAAGATCATTCCACTCTCTTTCTGTTAGTAAAAATTAGGGTTACCTACATCTTCTAAACACGTTCTTAATTCTAACAACCTCTTTATTATTAAATATGTACTTCCTTATCGCGTTGCTTGATCAATAATTGCTCCTTTTCCTGCTTGCTTCCTAAGAATGGCATCAATTTTGGGAGTTCTTATTACTATTGTTGCTTACTTAAATTTACCAGTGAAATTTGTAACTAAATGAATCCGTTTAATCACTAATGGCAAATATCGTATACATTCTCCTACCTTATATTTATTTATTAATATGTCGAAATAGAAAATAACTATTTATTAATGTACATAATCCATAAATAAAAATAATAACT